TGTTAACAAATAGACAGCCAGACAGCATTTCTCTATTGAAACATGTTCATTTTCAAGTAATTATATTTTCAATTCCTCGTTTATTTTATTACTCTTTACTTTCTACATAGTGAAATACATGTTAAATCTTTTTATGACATTGATACCTTCAATGATTCATGCTCAATCAGTGATCTTGATAACTTTTTAGAGTAATAACACAAAGCATCTGGTCTTTCTTTTTGTACATAATAATTTATTAAATTTATTCAATTTTCGAAAGTTTAACGTTCTATTGTTCAAAATAGTTTATTAATTTATTTATATCTTTTACTATATTATATATCTATTACTATATTATATCAAAATAATTCTTTATTTCATATAATTTATACATACATATATGTAATAAAATAATAAATACATAATTTATAAAGTTTTAATATATAATATTTCCCAAAGAAAATTTATACTAAGCAAAAATAAAATAAAATAAAAAAGTTTTATATTTGGTTTTCATTTATTTATACAAATACGTAGTATATTTTAAAGATACAATTTCAAGTTTTTCTAAAATAAAATTTATAAAATAAATTGTAAAATAAGTTTTTCAAAGATATTAGTACATTAACTCTATATGGATAATTTTAAATAAAAGATTTCAAAAGAAGCAAAAAGAAGTGAAAAACTATTTGAAAAACGTTCTTTCCTGGCGATTTAAGTTTCTCGGGAAAATAACAACACTAATTCATAATACAGTCGTTCTTGAGAAGCATTATAACAGATCTCATTTACTTGTCATTAAGATGCTAGAATATAACTAACAATAAGAATGATAACAATATAAAAATCAAATCGAAAGTTGCATCTGATCCCAATTATCATTTTATTATTTTTAATTTTTAATGTATCAATATGGCATCATACAATGTAAAAATTATAATATGCGTATTATAAAAAAATAAATTGAAATAATATATCGTTATAATAATTAAAGTGTTTTATTATTTACTTCAATATCAGATTTGGAATAATCATGCAAGATATTATCAATAAAATACGAAGCATAAAGCTTAATTTTTGTTAGCTTTTATATTTTAATAATATGTAATATGTAATATGTTTTAACAAAAAAAAAAAATAGTAGAAAAAATATTCGTTTTTATAACACTTTTTAATACGTTATACAAATTTTAATAATTCAAGTATCCATTTCATAGATTCACTTTTTTATATTGCGGTGGATTTTCTTTTAATATTTTTATATTTTTTATCACATGTATGAGTAGAATAAATTATATTTGTAAAAAGCATATTAAATATTTTCAAAATTATTGGCAACATTATCCTTTTGCTCTTGAAATGACCCTTTGGCATCAATTTGACCCCATATGTTGCTACATGTTTTTACACGTAAAATTTCCTTCTCTATCGATTTCCAGTATCAAAAAGATCATTACATTTAAAAACAAAAGTTGATCTTTAAATGATCTTGAAAAAGACATGTGACAAAGGCAAAGTCACCATCGGATGTCCTACTTTAATCTCTATTTTTATTATTGAAGTATTTAAATCTGATAATGATGATTATTGTTTTACAGAGAGACCTAATTTGATAGAAAACAAAAAAGTGGAAAAACTTCAAGAGATCTATTTGAAGACATTGAAAGCATATGTGGATAATCGTCGTCGACCGAAATCCGGTACAATCTTCGCTAAACTTTTATCAGTTCTAACCGAACTTAGAACTCTTGGCAATCAAAACAGTGAAATGTGCTTGAACCTGAAATTTAAGAACAAAAAGCTGCCACTTTTCCTCGCCGAAATCTGGGACGTGGTGCCCTAGTTTCTCAGTCGCCGATCAACGGCAATTGCGCCGGTCGGCTGAATTTTTGACGTCGC